GACACAAGCAACTACTGGATTACTGCAGGACACAAGCAACTACGTAAAGAGTGAGCACTGAGTGAGTGAGTGAGTGAGTGAGTGAGTGAGTGAGTGAGTGAGTGAGTGAGTTTGGTTTTACACCGCTTTTAGCAATATTCCAGCAATATCACGGCAGAGGACACCAGAAATGGGCTTCACACATTGTACCCATGTCGGGTCTTCTGTGTGATGAGGGAACGCTTTAACCACTAGGCTACCCATTTGCTCCAACTAGGTAAAGAACACTGTCACATGTAGATTAAATTATGAACAGGATATCATTTTAAGCGACACAATTTTTTGTGTATGAATGAGTGGGTGTTCTGGGTAGTCAGCCACAACAGGCAGGCTGCATCACACGGGCTTGCCATGACCATGTGTGTTGAGTATGTTGTAGTGTTGCTATTACTGGGCATATGGTATTGCTCCAGGTCCCAGTTGCACAAAGCGATCTTAGTGCTACGACTATTGTAGGCCTATGTTCAAGTATGGGAGTTACGATCATCTTAGCGCTAAGATCACTTTGTGCAAGTGGGCCCAGGACATCAGGATTCTGGACCTGTCGTCTCCATTTACAAACATATTCCCAGCATAGAACACTGGGGACTTGTTCTGACCTGACATCTCCACTTGGAGACAAGCATAGAACACTAGGGACCTGTTCTGACCTGACATCTCCACTTGGAGACAAGCATAGAACACTGGGGACCTGTTCTGACCTGACATCTCCACTTTCAGACAAGACAGAACACTGGGGACTTGTTCTGACCTGACATCTCCACTTGGAGACAAGCATAGAACACTAGGGACCTGTTCTGACCTGACATCTCCACTTTCAGACAAGACAGAACACTGGGGACCTGTTCTGACCTGACATCTCCACTTGGAGACAAGCATAGAACACTAGGGACCTGTTTTGACCTGACATCTCCACTTGGAGACAAGCATAGAACACTAGGGACCTGTTTTGACCTGACATCTCCACTTGGAGACAAGACAGAACACTGGGGACCTGTTCTGACCTGACATCTCCACTTTCAGACAAGACAGAACACTGGGGACTTGTTCTGACCTGACATCTCCACTTGGAGACAAGCATAGAACACTAGGGACCTGTTCTGACCTGACATCTCCACTTGGAGACAAGCATAGAACACTGGGGACTTGTTCTGACCTGACATCTCCACTTGGAGACAAGCATAGAACACTGGGGACTTGTTTTGACCTGACATCTCCACTTTCAGACAAGACAGAACACTAGGGACTTGTTTTGACCTGACATCTCCACTTTCAGACAAGACAGAACACTGGGGACTTGTTTTGACCTGACATCTCATATTTTAAGACAAGACAGAACACTGGGGACCTGTTCTGACCTGACATCTCCACTTTCAGACAAGACAGGACACTAGGGACTTGTTTTGACCTGACATCTCCACTTGGAGACAAGACAGAACACTAGGGACCTGTTCTGACCTGACATCTCCACTTGGGTGAGTGTGTATGGTTTTACGCTGCTTTTAGCAATCTTCCAGCAATATCACGACGGGGGACAACAGAAATGGGCTTCACATATTGTACCCATGTCGGGAATCGAACCTGGGTCTTCGGCGTGACGAGCAAACGCTTTAACCACTAGGCTACCCGACCGCTCCTCTCCACTTGGAGACAAGCATAGAACACTGGGGACCTGTTCTGAACAAACGTGTAAACAAGCATAGACCGCCTGCAACCTTTTCTAACACAGATACATGGATACACACACAGGGCACCGGGGACCATGCCCATGTTGTGTCTGTTGTTTCAAGATGTGATATTATCAACATGTCACTTCACAAAAAGGTTTGGTGCAACTTAAATGTGCCATTGCTACTAAACATCTTCCCATCTGACTGCAGAGGGAAGAGAGCTGGTCTGAGGGAGATGATAAGGACATCAGTGTGGCAGCTGGCGATACAGCATCTCCTACACTGCCCATCCTGGATCAGTTTCAACACTAATTTGTTTCAGTATCATAAACTCTCATGAACCCAGTCTGTCAATTATCCATATCTACTCCACCCACTGGGCGATAAGGCATATATATCACATGCTTATACATGACATCTCTCAAACTGTTAACTATGTTTTTTGTTTCTTTGTTGTTTAACGCCGCACTCAGCAATATTCCAGCTATATGACGGCGGTCTGTAAATAATCAAGTCTGGACCAGACAATCCAGTGATTGACATCATGAGCATCGATCCACACAATTGGGATACGAGAACATGCATCAACCAAGTCAGCGAGCCTGATCCCCTTATCCTGTTAGTCGTCTCTTACAACAAGCATAGTCGTCTTTACAGCAAGCATGGGTTGCTGAAGACCTATTTTACCCTGGATCTTCACGGGTAGATAACACTATTACCAGTAGAAAGGTATGCATATTAAACAGATGCACATCTCCCTTTAATAGTCTGTCTTACAGACCCTGATACAAATATATATCAAATACAGCCCATGCAAGTCTATAATGTTTGGCAAGTCTAGATCAAACAAGTATTTGTCACAGAGTGACGAAATATCCCCCGCCATATACACCATAGTACCAAATATGAAGACAATCCAGCGATTAGTTCTTGAGATATTGTGGCAACACCGTTTTCCAACTCCAAAAACAGATTTGCCTGCTGTGACCTTGAAAATGGGGTCAAGGTCACCAAATCTGACAGGTGTATGCGGTGTCTGTATATACACTATAGTTCCAAATATGAAGACAATCCAGCGATTAGTTCTTGAGATATCGCGGCAACACCGTTTTCTAACTCCAAAAGCAGATTTGCCTGCTGTGACCTTGAAAATGGGGTCAAGGTCACCAAAACCGACTGGTGTCTGCGGTGTCTGTATATACACCATAGTTCCAAATATGAAGACAATCGAGAGGTTTAGTTCTTGAGATATATCGCGGCAACACCGTTTTCCAACTCTAAAAGCAGATTTGCCTGCTGTGACCTTGAAAATGGGATCAAGGTCACCAAAACCGACTGGTGTCTGCGGAGTCTGTATATACACTATAGTTCCAAATATGAAGACAATCCAGTGTTTAGTTCTTGAGATATCGCGGCAACACCGTTTTCCAACTCCAAAAGCAGATTTGCCTGCTGTGACCTTGAAAATGGGGTCAAGGTCACCAAAACCGACTGGTGTCTGCGGTGTCTGTATATACACCATAGTTCCAAATATGAAGACAATCCAGTGTTTAGTTCTTGAGATATCGCGGCAACACCGTTTTCCAACTCTAAAAGCAGATTTGTCTGCTGTGACCTTGAAAATGGGATCAAGGTCACCAAAACCGACTGGTGTCTGCGGAGTCTGTATATACACCATAGTTCCAAATATGAAGACAATCCAGAGTTTAGTTCTTGAGATATCGCGGCAACACCGTTTTCCAACTCTAAAAGCAGATTTGTCTGCTGTGACCTTGAAAATGGGATCAAGGTCACCAAAGCCGACTGGTGTCTGCGGAGTCTGTATATACACCATAGTTCCAAATATGAAGACAATCCAGTGTTTAGTTCTTGAGATATCGCGGCAACAAACAGGTGGGACGTACGGACGGACGTACGGACGGTCGTGAATACTATATCCCCCGCTTCGCGCTTTCGTGCGGCGGGGGATAATGAAGAGAGTCACTGGGCTCCTTTTTATTATATTTTTATTAAGATAACTGAACAACTGTTTTTTTTATGTACGATATGTTCATTTCAGAGACTAGATTTTAGTCTACTCCCTTTAACTGCAGCAGGAGTAGACATATAATAAGACAGTTGCACATCTCTTGGTAGAAACCCTCTGGTATTTTCAGGTACTCAGATTGTGCTATCTTACCTCTTACAAAGTGTCCTCCCAAATTCACTTAAATTCCAGATGAATAGTGTTTAATGAGGTTTAAATTCCAAAGAGATCTACTTGAATGCCCCAGATTCTGTAACATTGTGGGGACTCACTCTCTTAGCAGAAATTATACTACTCAAATGAAATAAAAGAACACCCAATTTTTTCATATGACTACAGTTAAACTGTTATGTCACTCAAAAGAACTTAAAGAACACCTGATTTTTTTCACATGACTATAGTTAATCTGTCATGTCACTCAAAATAAGTTAAAGAACACCTGATTTTTTTCACATGACTACAGCTAATCTGTCATGACATTTAATATTCTGGGTGAGTGGGGTCTGGGATTTTTTTCTGGAACAAATTATTTACAAATAATAACAAGCATCAAATACTCATATCCCCGCCATGGGTGCTTCCGTAAAAAAATGCCCTAATTGGCAAAAGACACCAATTCATCCCCAGGGCTGTACACGTACAAAGTTTTGTGAAAAAATATGAAATAGTTTACAAGTTATAGTCCGGAAAAGAAGCCTACCCAGAAAATGTACTAAGTCCAACTTGTTTCCATGGAAACCAGAAAAATGAAAAATGTTAAAAATCTCGATGTGACAAAAGGCACCAGTTCAACACCAAAGTAATATGTGTACAAAGTTGGGTTAACAAGTATCATAGTTCTGCTTTTGAAACAAAATGTGTAATGGCATGCACCAAGTCCAAGAAATCAGAAAACTTAAAAATAATAGGAATCTCTAAGTGGCAAAAGGCACCAGTTCGGCACTCAAATGATGTGTGTGCAAAGTTTGGTTAAGAAATATTGACGGTTTTTGAGTTCTGCTTCAGAAATCAAAAGTGACGGACGGACGGACGAAATGACTGAAGGAAGTACTGATGGAATGATGGACGGATGGCACCCATTCCTATATCCCCCTCCCACTTTGTGTCCCCCTCAGCCATAGACAGTATTAGGGTATTCTGTTGTACTGTGCATATTTTTGGCACACAAATATTTTGTACTTTTATGTGAAATATAATTTCAAGACACAGTGACACACAAACCTATCTCCGAATCTGCAATACACCTGATAGTTAATTTTACTCACCACATGTATAAGTTACGTTTAAATATTTATTGACCCTTTCCTCGCAAGGGTTTCCGAAGACGTACTCCTCCGCCTCCAACACACACTGCTTGCGGCCATGACACTTGCTGCGAACTGCCTCCACAGTGTTCCGCGCCTGGCAGTCTGAAACGGACACAGATTCATTCATACATACATACAAGTGATCCATTCATACATACAAGTGATCTATTCATACAGGGGCAGAATTAAGGAAAACAATCTCCTGTAAAGCAGGGAATAATCATGTCGAAAAGAATTTTACTTCCCAAACCTTCCCAGCCAGCATATAAACAACTCACATGTTCTCCAAGGGATATTTGCCATGATAAATTAATTAAAAAAAATAATAGTTTGTCTATGCAAAACATAACATAAACAATGCCTCCCATCTAACATATTTCTTAATATTGGATGAAAAACTAATACCGTATTCGACGTAATAAGAGCCCTGCTCTAATAAGCGCCCATGGCGATATTTGCTAATATATTCGCAAGTGAACGATCCCAATTAGCACCCCTTCTGACTGATCAATGTACCCAAGACTTATTTATTCGTGTATAATATGCACTCCTGTGTTATATGCACCCTTAATTATGGGCAATTAAATTCTGGAAAAATATATCTGTCGTGTATAATACGCACAGACTGTTCTTTTGTATCATTTCAGGCTGTCAGCATGAACCACAAAATTTACGATCTTTCAACTCTGTTTTCTTTTCACCAAAATTTTATTCTAATAAGAATTTTGAGAGTACCCTGGGCGCTAATTACGTCGAATACGGTAGTTAGTTTAATCTGGCCTTATCTGTTAAATACTAGAAATGAATGGTTTTTTTTACATTTTCCTACTACATAAGACATCATGACAAAACTGTTCACACTTGAGTCATGGATGGAATAGAACCTGGTCTTGTTGTATGGCAAGGTCACATTCTATTGGGCTAATGATCCAACATAACCACTTCTTCTTATAAGGCCAACAAATCAAATATAATATTTCTGGGAACTGATCCTTTAATTTAGGAATTGTGTGTTTGTTTGTTTCTCAATTTTTGTATCATTCAGCAATATTTCAGTTCCATGACAGCAGTCTGGACCAGACAATCCAGTGATTTATACCATGAGCAAAGATCCACAAACGATCCCCGAGTCTGACTACCCGATCCATTTTGTCTCCTTTTTTGACCAACACAGGCTGCTGGGGACCAATTCTAACCAGGAATCCCCATGGGGTTTAATTTATGAGGGGTGTTCAGGGGGTGTTCAGGGGGTGTACTTTCAACAAATGACCCTCCCATATGGATGTCAGTTGGGGTAACAAATATTTCCTCCCTCCCTCATGGCCTTTTCAAGCATTTTAAGAACTCTTCAACGTTTTAACAAAAAAAGGAATTTCATTTTTTAATGAAGGCCAAGTTTTTGTGACCTCCTTTGATTGAGAGATCAGCCCACATGTGTATACTTAATGACAGGTTTTTAGACTGCGTGCAGCAAACGTAGGAGTCACAAGGATCTGCTGGCATCATGGAGTCTAGCGGCACAGAAACATGAGTATTACAGATACATGAGTATTACTGCAGAACGTGCTTACTCATCAGCCATCACTGCATCCAGATTGTTAGCCACTGATGCAAATAGGGTCATGGTGAAGTATGTTATTTCAAATGAAACATGGATATTTTTTTCATCTATCATTTATACCACTACTTCCTTTAATCAGGGCAGGTGGTATTTTGGTGGCTGTTGACATTTCATTTTGAATCTTGTTAAATGTCATGCCAGTGTGTTACCGCAATCCTGCTGTTGTAGTCAGTAACTGGTTGGGCTGATTAGGCTCATGTCCTCCCCAGACATGGGGAAGGAACTGGGGAGGGGGTAGGTGAGTGTGGGGGTGGGTGGGCGAGTGTGAGGGTGAGTGTGAGTGTGAGTGTGAGGGTGAGTGTGAGTGTGTGAGGGTAATTGAAGAGTGTGAGGGTGAGGGTGAGTGTGAGTGTGAGTGTGAGGGTGAGTGTGAGGGTAATTGAAGAGTGTGAGGGTGAATGTGAGGGTGAGTGTGAGTGTGGGTTGAGGAGGGGGTAGGTGAGTGTGAGGGTGAGTGTGAGTGTGAGGGTGAGTGTGAGTGTGAGTGTGAGTGTGTGAGGGTAATTGAAGAGTGTGAGGGTGAGTGTGAGGGTGAGTGTGAGGGTGAGTGTGAGGGTAATTGAAGAGTGTGAGGGTGAGTGTGAGGGTGAGTGTGAGTGTGGGTTGAGGAGGGGGTAGGTGAGTGTGAGTGTGAGTGTGAGTGTGAGGGTAATTGAAGAGTGTGAGGGTGAGTGTGAGGGTGAGTGTGAGTGTGAGTGTGAGTGTGTGAGGGTAATTGAAGAGTGTGAGGGTGAGTGTGAGTGTGAGTGTGAGGGTAATTGAAGAGTGTGAGGGTGAGTGTGAGGGTAATTGAAGTGTGTGGGGGTGAGTGTGAGGGTAATTGAAGAGTGTAAGGGTGAGTGTGAGGGTGAGTGTGAGGGTAATTGAAGAGTGTGGGGGTGAGTGTGAGTGTGAGTGTGACTGTGGGTTGAGGAGGGGGTAAGTGAGTGTGAGGGTGAGTGTGGGTTGAGGAGGGGGTAGGTGAGGGTGAGTGTGAGGGTGAGTGTGGGTTGAAGAGGGGTAGGTGAGTGTGGGGGTGAGTGTGAGGGTGAGGGTGAGTGTGGGGGTGAGTGTGAGGGTGAGTGTGAGTGTGGGGGTGAGTGTGAGGGTGAGTGTGAGTGTGAGTGTGGGGGTGAGTGTGAGGGTGAGTGTGAGGGTGAGTGTGGGTTGAGGAGGGGGTGGGTGAGTGTGAGTGTGGGGGTGAGTGTGAGGGTGAGTGCGGGTGGGTTGAGGAGGGGGTAGGTGAGTGTGAGTGTGAGGTGAGTGTGGGGATTGGTTGAGGAGGGGGTGGGTGAGTGTGAGGGTGAGTGTGAGGGTGGGTTGAGGAAGGGGTAGGTGAGTGTGAGGGTGGGTTGAGGAGGGGGTGGATGGGTGCGAGGGTGAGTGTGATGGTGGGTTGAGGAGGGGGGGGTGAGTGTGAGGGTGAGTGTGATGGTGGGTTGAGGAGGGGTTAGGTGAGTGTGAGGGTGAGTGTGATGGTGGGTTGAGGAGGGGGTAGGTGAGTGTGAGGGTAAGTGTGGGGGTGGGTTGAGGAGGGGGTGGGTGAGTGTGAGGGTGAGTGTGATGGTGGGTTGAGGAGGGGGTAGGTGAGTGTGAGGGTAAGTGTGGGGGTGGGTTGAGGAGGGGGTGGATGGGTGCGAGGGTGAGTGTGATGGTGGGTTGAGGAGGGGGGGGTGAGTGTGAGGGTGAGTGTGATGGTGGGTTGAGGAGGGGGTAGGTGAGTGTGAGGGGGAGTGTGAGTGTGGGTGTGAGGGTGAGTGTGAGTGTGAGTGTGTGAGGGTAATTGAAGAGTGTGAGGGTGAGTGTGAGGGTGAGTGTGAGGGTAATTGAAGAGTGTGAGGGTGAGTGTGAGGGTGAGTGTGAGTGTGAGTGTGGGTTGAGGAGGGGGTAGGTGAGTGTGAGTGTGAGTGTGAGTGTGAGGGTAATTGAAGAGTGTGAGGGTGAGTGTGAGGGTGAGTGTGAGTGTGAGTGTGTGAGGGTAATTGAAGAGTGTGAGGGTGAGTGTGAGGGTGAGTGTGAGTGTGAGTGTGAGGGTAATTGAAGAGTGTGAGGGTGAGTGTGAGGGTAATTGAAGTGTGTGGGGGTGAGTGTGAGGGTAATTGAAGAGTGTAAGGGTGAGTGTGAGGGTGAGTGTGAGGGTAATTGAAGAGTGTGGGGGTGAGTGTGAGTGTGAGTGTGACTGTGGGTTGAGGAGGGGGTAAGTGAGTGTGAGGGTGAGTGTGGGTTGAGGAGGGGGTAGGTGAGGGTGAGTGTGAGGGTGAGTGTGGGTTGAAGAGGGGTAGGTGAGTGTGGGGGTGAGTGTGAGGGTGAGTGTGGGGGTGAGTGTGAGGGTGAGGGTGAGGGTGAGTGTGGGGGTGAGTGTGGGGGTGAGTGTGAGGGTGAGTGTGAGTGTGGGGGTGAGTGTGAGGGTGAGTGTGAGTGTGAGTGTGGGGGTGAGTGTGAGGGTGAGTGTGAGGGTGAGTGTGAGTGTGGGTTGAGGAGGGGGTGGGTGAGTGTGAGTGTGGGGGTGAGTGTGAGGGTGAGTGTGCGGGTGGGTTGAGGAGGGGGTAGGTGAGTGTGAGTGTGAGGTGAGTGTGGGGATGGGTTGAGGAGGGGGTGGGTGAGTGTGAGGGTGAGTTGAGGAGGGGGTGGATGGGTGCGAGGGTGAGTGTGATGGTGGGTTGAGGAGGGGGGTAGGTGAGTGTGAGGGTAAGTGTGGGGGTGGGTTGAGGAGGGGGTGGGTGAGTGTGAGGGTGAGTGTGATGTGGGTTGAGGAGGGGGTAGGTGAGTGTGAGGGTAAGTGTGGGGGTGGGTTGAGGAGGGGGTGGATGGGTGCGAGGGTGAGTGTGATGGTGGGTTGAGGAGGGGGGGTGAGTGTGAGGGTGAGTGTGATGGTGGGTTGAGGAGGGGGTAGGTGAGTGTGAGGGTAAGTTGTAAAGAAATTCAAACTATTACAACTATTTGTGGCAGACAATGTCTACTTTTTAAAGTCTAAATCAAAATTATTTTTATCAATTTTATGTATTATTTTTTATTACCAGATTCAGCAGGTATAACAAATGACTTTCCTCAAATTTTAAATTTTATTCCACATTTGTAAAGTTTAGGGTTAGCTGGTCACTCACTAAGTTATAGATATGCCTAAGTATGGGGAAGTTGAAAGGAGTATAAAGAAGGGACTATTCCTCAGATGGGAGCCACATGGCTGGCCCCAGTATCAAGCAATTACATACCTATGTGTCTTGGGCCGCTGTATTCACAGACATTGGTCCCGTTGGGTGTACGACCAAACATGGCGGAGTAGATGGCGACCCGTGTGGACCGCTTGCACCACAGCACCATCTGCTCCCCCTGACACACCACCTGGCTCTCGTACCCATCTGAAACAACACAATAACAGTCAGCCACATATACACTTCTGTCAGCTGTAAGATTTCCAGGCTAAAAGAGAAGGAATCCGCTCATCTTCTGACAAGGGATTTACCAAAAGATACATACTGACTAATCCTTCATACAGACCTGAAACAGAAATCCTTGAAATCCCAAGCAAGTCTACAATGCTGTCTAGATTTCTTAAGTGTACAGGAAGGGATTACCCGACTCTCTCTACTATAAATTAAAAGACAATTTAACCAAAACAATATTTAATAAATATGTTTATTTCAGAGAACCTGATGCCTAAACACCTTAAAACACACAGAGAACAACACTAGATTTTGTAAAAAAGAAATCACTCGAATCTGTTGATTTTATTACTGGAAACAGCAGATTCGAGTCACTTCTCCAACTTAATCCATGTCATGGATGATAATTAATTACTCAACATTGTTGCACTAAGAATAGTTGGGTCAGTTTTACATGTTAAAATGCATGTTCAGAATGCCTGGTGAATTTCTGGCTTAGAATCAGCTGCAACAACTAAAGCCTGATGTCATAGAAACGGTGAAGTAGAAGTGAGTGTAACCTTCAGAGATAGAATAGCCCACAAGCTATCAGGAATTACCGATTTTCGGTCCAGTGTGATGAGAAACAAAATGTTCATTGCAACCTAGACTAACATCTAGTCTCTGAAATGAACATACAGAAAAAAACAGTTGTTCAGTTACCTTAATAAAAATATACTAAAACGGAGCCCAGTGACTCTCTTCATTTTCAGATACTGCAGTAATCTAGACTTGTGAAACATTATAGACTTGCATGGGCTGTATTTGATATATATTTGTATCAGGGTCTGTAAGACAGACTACATGCAACCTTACTATCATGTATATTTTTGAGTGAGTGAGTGAGTGAATGAGTATGGTTTCACGCAGCTTTTTGCAATACTCCTGCAATATCACAGCCGGGGACACCAGAAATGGGCTTCACACATTGTACCTATGTTGGGAGTCGAACCCGGGTCTTCGGCGAGACGAGTGAACACTTTAACCGCTAGGCTACCCTACCGCCCTGTATAATATTGAAAGCAACAAGCCAGGAAGGGAGATTGTTGTCAGTACAAGAGTCATGTTATTTCCGGAACCCTAAGCTAAGTGTAATATTTCAACAGTTACATGAGCAAACAGATTATTGTCTCTCTAGACAAGCCGACATGAGTTTTTTATCATCTAACCAATGAACAAAATGCAGGAAGTGTTTTGTTCCCCATGCACTTTGTTTACTGAGCCATGTTGGAAGTGGTTCCGGGGTGGGAAATGTGGCAAGCTTTGTACAAGGATGAGAATGGATAGTTTCCTCTTCAGCTGAAACATCCTTGCAATGGAGCATGGTCCATGATCTGAGGGTGTTTATGGGGGACGCCATCAGATTTTAACAAATTTGTGGTCGAAACAATTCGCGGAAATTCCCGGATCCGCTGAAGATTCTCATCCGTGTATATACACATTGCAAGCTCTCTTCTTATATAAATACTTGTACATGTAGAATTATTCGAAAACAAGGAACATAAACTGTGAAATTGCACTTCAAAGACAAATGTCTAGCAAACTGGTTGCAGCACAAATGAAAATAAATCTATCCTTAAGGTTTTTCCGTGCATGCCCTTCTTCATACACTAGTTTATTTTTCTACCGAAGATTACAAAACAAGTCTCTGCTCAAATTTCCTCTCTGATTATTTATATAGTAACTATGGCAACATGTCAAGGCCTCAGAAAAACATGGGAACATGTAACTGGCATTGAAGGACACAGATAGAACTGAAGATGAGTTGTTTGCCATTGGTAACAGGTACATTAGACCTCACTGTCTTCCCCAGGGAACACATACAAATCTACAGGTATCTGAATAACTGGGATAATATATCAATATCAGCACCCTGTATATCTGTGATGATATGTGTGAAGCTTTGTTTGTTGCAATATTCCAGCAAAATGACGGCGGTCTGTAAAAAATTGTATCTGAACCAGAGAATACAGTGATTTACATCATGAGCATTGATCCCATGCAATTGGGATACCATGACATGCATCAACCAAGTCAGCGAGTCTGATCACCCGATCCCATTATTTGCCTCTTACGACAAGCATAGTTGCCTTTTACAACAAGCATGGGTTGCTGAAGACCTATTCTACCCCGGATCTTCACGGGTATGTGATGATATATCTATATCATCACCTTGTATATCTGTGATGATATATCTATATCATCATCCTGTATATCTGTGATGATATATCTATATAAGCACCCTGTATATCTGTGATGATATATCTATATCATCACCCTGTATATCTGTGATGATATATCTATATCAGCACCCTGTTTAGCTGTGATGATATATCTATATCATCACCCTGTATATCTGTGATGATATATCTATATAAGAACCCTGTATATTTGTGATGATATATCTATATCAGCACCCTTTATATCTGTGATGATACAAGGATTATATCATAGTGCTGGAGAGATTCATCAACAGTGTATCAACTCTAGGGCTACAGAGCAATCTAAAACTGTTAATGGAGAGGTGTGTGTGCAATATGTCAGATATCGCCTGTAGTCAGTGAATTACTCCCTACAGAAGGCCCCGGGACTATAGAGGCACTGTCATGTGTGTAGCAGCGCTCATGGTGAATTTTCTATTTCATACATGGAGGCGCCCTGAACACTCACTGAGCAGAATAATCATGGGCAACTTTTACATAAACGAGTTGGGTCATGTCAACCTTAGTTTTCATAGGAATAATAGATTTCCATGAATGTAAACATTCCTGGTTTCCTTACATAACCATCATGCCAATCAGTCAATTTCTTACAATGGTGTTGATCATTGAGTTTCCCACAAATGTGTTGATCATTGGGTTTCCCTCAAATGTGTTGATCATTGAGTTTCCCACAAATGTGTTGATCATTGGGTTTCACACAAATGTGTTGATCATTGGGTTTCCCACAATTATGTGTTGATCATTGAGTCTCCCTCAAATGTGTTGATCATTGAGTTTCCTACAAATGTTTCTTCACTTTGATCAATGAGTTTCTTCACTGATGTGGTGATCAATGGGTATGTTTTACAAGGATTTCACAGGCCAGCAGGTGCACCATGTTACCAACTCACACCCACACACACTGGAAGAGTGGGGTCAGGCCATTCAGTGTCACCACCGGGCTGGACACACCGTATTGAGCTGGTGCACCATGTTACAGACTCACACACACTGGAAGAGTGGGGTCAGGCCATTCAGTGTCACCACCGGGCTGGACACACCGTATTGAGCTGGTGCACCATGTTACAGACTCACACACACTGGAAGAGTGGGGTCAGGCCATTCAGTGTCACCACCGGGCTGGACACACCGTATTGAGCTGGTGCACCATGTTACTGACTCACACACACTGGAAGAGTGGGGTCAGGCCATTCAGTGTCACCACCGGGCTGGACACACCGTATTGAGCTGGTGCACCATGTTACAGACTCACACACACTGGAAGGGTGGGGTCAGGCCATTCAGTGTCACCACCGGGCTTGACACACCGTATTGAGCTGGTGCACCATGTTACCGACTCACACTCATACACACTGGAAGAGTGGGGTCAGGCCATTCAGTGTCACCACCGGGCTTGACACACCGTATTGAGCTGGTGCACCATGTTCCTGACTCACACACACTGGAAGAGTGGGGTCAGGCCATTCAGTGTCACCACCGGGCTGGACACACCGTATTGAGCTGGTGCACCATGTTACTGACTCACACACACTGGAAGAGTGGGGTCAGGCCATTCAGTGTCACCACCGGGCTGGACACACCGTATTGAGCTGGTGCACCATGTTACAGACTCACACACACTGGAAGGGTGGGGTCAGGCCATTCAGTGTCACCACCGGGCTTGACACACCGTATTGAGCTGGTGCACCATGTTACCGACTCACACTCATACACACTGGAAGAGTGGGGTCAGGCCATTCAGTGTCACCACCGGGCTTGACACACCGTATTGAGCTGGTGCACCATGTTACTGACTCACACACACTGGAAGAGTGGGGTCAGGCCATTCAGTGTCACCACCGGGCTGGACACACCGTATTGAGCTGGTGCACCATGTTACCACCTCACACTCACACACACTGGAAGATAGGGGTCAGGCCATTCAGTGTCACCACCGGGCTTGACACACCGTATTGAGCTGGTGCACCATGTTACTGACTCACACACACACACACTGGAAGAGTGGGGTCAGGCCATTCAGTGTCACCACCGGGCTTGACACACCGTATTGAGCTGGTGCACCATGTTACTGACTCACACACACACACACTGGAAGAGTGGGGTCAGGCCATTCAGTGTCACCACCGGGCTGGACACACCGTATTGAGCTGGTGCACCATGTTACCGACTCACACACACTGGAAGAGTGGGGTCAGGCCATTCAGTGTCACCACCGGGCTGGACACACCATATTGAGCTGGTGCACCATGTTTCCGACTCACACAAACAGGAAGAGTGGGGTCAGGCCATTCAGTGTCACCACCGGGCTGGACACACCATATTGAGCTGGTGCACCATGTTACCACCTCACACTCACACACACTGGAAGATAGGGGTCAGGCCATTCAGTGTCACTATAGGCTGGACACCGTATTGAGCTGGTGTTGCATGAATGATCATTGGGCCAAAGCCCGAGGCCTTGCACGCGGAAAACTGGCAGCGTGTGTCAATATACCGATCATACCATCAATATCTCCATACAACCACCAGCGGCATCTTTCAACACTAACCGTGTCTCCTGCACTGCTGAAGGCATTGCCTTTAATATTCTCACACCCTTTTCAATAAATCATTTATGATAGGAACAGATCTTGGACCATATTGGATATAAAAAATAAAAAAAATAAAAATTCCTGATGACATAATCTTTAACAAACACTGAATCAACCTGAAAAG